TCCAGTAGTTCACAGAAGTTGGCCGAACGACGTCGCTTGTTCAAATTCTGTTTTTTCTTTGCATTTTTTTATTCAAAAAATTTTACAAATCGCCTAATCTAACATTGACCCTAACCCTAACCCTAACCCTAACCCTAACCCTAAATTTTTTCTTTCACATCCTTTATTACGTGGTGTACCACATGGTCCTTCAAATTCACAACAGATCCAACATAATACATAAAAGAAAGATTCTAGATTATGTTAAAAATCATGAGCTGACTGTTGCAGAAAATTATCAATTGCCATAAAGGGTAATGTTCCTGTTCAATACCCTTGTACTTTATTCTTTCTTGACACGAGCCAGTATCAATCGCATAATCCAAATCAATAATAAATTTCCGTCCATCATTTTCTATCAAAATGTGTTACATTGAGATATCCCTGTAAAGAATTTTAGCTATTTGATACAAATTACAATGTCCTTCGATGGTATCACGAAAAGCAACTAGTAGTTCCAAATGGTCATTAAAAAAGTAAATAGATTTCCCATACATAGATATTACCAGTCTAGTATGGATTCGATATTCTGGCTTTTTTAATAGAATGTTGTTAACATTAACGGCAGATGAAGTTGAATTTATCGAACTTTGAAAAGACTCGTGTATCTCGCAATCTGGATTCCCTGTGGGAATGCTCATTTGAAATTCAGAATTCATTCTACCATTGTCATCAAGATACAGAAAAAGCTTCTTTCTAATACATTCAAACATGTCATCAACTATTTTGCTCCCTTGAGACTGTTGGAAAATAGCGGAATCAGATATTGGAAAAATAGTAACATCTTCGTGGTGGTGGTACTTCGTAACTCAAGAGTTCACTGTATCTTTTAATGCAATTGTTGCTTTCTTAAGAAGGTCGCCTTCTGTATAATCCAGTGAGGTGGAACACCAGGAGTCTTTTATAATATACGCTTTGTTTATTAGTTTTTTACCATCCTCGTCCAGATGATATGCTTTTCAACAGACAGTAGCACGGCCGCATATGACAGCCTGATAAAATATTTTTTTAACTAATACAAATCATTCGATTTTACTCTCTGCTGTGGTATCACTTTGCTCCTTCGATACTGAATGCATATCTTTTTTAAAATCTATACGACCCATACTAAAAGGGTGGATCAAGACAGAGGGGTCATAGCCAAGCCGAGAAACTCCCATAATTGCAAATTCAGTGATAACTCGAATAAACATTTTGGGATCCTTATGTATGCTAAAAGCATAGGAACCAATACCTCCTAAACGATCAAAAAGCCAAATACGTATTGATGCCCCACATATCGTAAACCCAAAAACAAACTTTCTAGTTGGTTAATTGCCAATGAGACTTCAATTGTAAATCGTGACGCATAATAGTTTTACTCAAGAATACCTACGCAATGGTCAAATCAGGTTTTAACGCATGGTAAATATAGTAATTAAGGTTGACTGCCGAAACTAAAAAGGAAATTCCGAAAGGTTTCAGCCAATCAAATTAAATGCCGAAAATGCCGAAATAAGGCTGAAACTCGGTCTTAATTTTGGCCAAAATTAAAATTCGGCCGAAATTATGACATTGTGTTACGTGACGTTACACGTATTTCCAAAAAAGGAAATTTTGTTTCCCAGTAAAATCGGAGAAATGTGTCGCACAAATGTTACACAAAATTCTATAAAAGGAAATTTACGTGTCACTCATTATTCCGGCCAGAATTATAGTATTAATGTTGGCCAATAATTTTGGCCAAATTTCGGCCTTTCGGTAAAAGTTTCGGCATTGTATAATTTCGGCAAAGTTACTTTTAATTGCCTAAACTTTTGGTTTTAAAAAAGTTTTGGCCTTAGCCTAAACTACTTGATTTCGGCAAGCAACTTTAATAGTAATTATAGTATAATTTTTGGGTTGGTTTTTTTAAGATCCTGCTATTATAGTTTACTGTATTTCTAATTACCAAACCTGCTTCACGATCATGAGTTCGTGACCTTCGAATATTCCTACAGAAATAGGATTATTAATCGTATTTATGGATATTTCTCTAGACACGTAATTTTGTTCATGTTAGGACGTAGGTTTTCTCTTGCGATCTCCCATCTCTTGAAAATATTTATCACGTTCTAATATAAGTTTTATTTCTAACAAAGAGGTGAAGTTGAAAACACAAATCGTAAATGTAAAGATCAGAAAAATTCTGCAATACTACAAGGGCAACGACGTTCTGTTGGATGGGATCATGACGCTATATTAATTATGAAGACAAACAATGTTAATTATTAAATAGGATTCTGTGAGGTCGCAGGTAGCGCCTGCATACATGACGACCAAAAAAATGATAGGGGATCGAAGAGAAAATTTCAAACTGTAAGTAGAGACACATTCAGGCAACTGTTCTTTTTGATATTCTTGGTGTCTCTAAAAAATTAGTACTATTTAAGATATAAAAATCGTATTATATATAATGAATTAATTACTGTCCAACGATACTTCACTCACACATTGTACTAATTATAATATCATGACTAATTTCAGAATGTGCGATATTGCCATTGAGGTCAAATGAATATGATCTTACTTCATATATCACATATATATATTGATCAACACCTTTACCAAATTGAACATTCTTTCTCTTCTCTTAGTCTTGCCCATCTAAGATTATGATGGAAATCCTTTCCCCGATTCATATAATGAGAATGAAAGCAAGGATCTTTATAGTGGAAATTCGTCTATCACTTAAACACTGGATATAGTGTTAGACCTCATATCCATAACATTCATATATTATTTTACCATTTAGTATTATTATTTTAAGCAACATGAATTTTTGTAAATAACATTGTTAATATAAGAGATAACCATAATATAAAAAATTACTCCATGGATGGCGGAATTTATTTGATTGGAGAACATAGGGGTGTAAAATTCGTTGTGTTGTGCAAGAATTTTACAGAAGACAAAGTAAATGCCTCCCTCGTTACGTTAGAGATTTTATTGTATGTATACTTATGATTATTTGAAATTAAAATCTTATATGACCTCAACTAAAGTCAATAATTATTTAGGGAGGATTATCAAATTATCCTCCTGATACATCAAAGGTGATATTATACTTTATTTAATCAATAACATTTATGCCATAAAACTATCGGATTATTAATAATTATTTTTTTCCTATCCCCACATAACAATAGATGTGTTAATAACAATTTCGAATACCAAGATCAAGATATGGTTAAAAGGAAAAGCCTGCTCAGTAAACAATATTCTCTTTCGGCATTGTACGCCAACATTTAATACTAAGTCATTAGATGATAATAGAAGAGATTATGTTAACGTGTTTGGATATTTTTGATCGCAAATAGTTTCCCATAGTAGAATAGATGATGTGTTTCTGGGACTGGCTGTCTCGAAAATGCCTGGAGGATATTGCCTCGCAATATGGACATGTTAGTTCTGGTGTAAACGGCTAAGATCCTTTAATAATACATGATGAGCTTAATGTACTACTACGTTCAAGAATCTTTCTATTTTCTGTTCATCTCTTTCAATAACCGCCTGATTGTATAGTGCAATTAATCCCGATTTGCCATATATTGCAATAATTTTTCTTTCAAGTTCAGACACTCCATTCTATATAAGTTTTTCATCTACTTACAACTGAATTGTTATTAATTACACAACTTTAATGCAATGTACAGTTATACTGAATTTTTTTAAACTTCAGACCATTATTTTAATTAAAAAAAAAAAATTATATATATTTATTTAAAGATGTAAAGTTTCGGTGGAAGAATAAATATGAAATGCCAAAAAATTCAGATGATTCAATGTAGTTAATAAATATTTATTTGGAAGTTGGAACTACAGTATCAACTCTTTACATTTGTCAAAAAAATTTTTTTATACAATAAATATTGTATGAAAAATAATTGTATATATAAAATGTATTTAGAATACCCGTGAACATGCTACAAAGATGTCTTCTTAGCAATTACACAATATTGTAAAAATATCTGCCAGTATAATTAAAAATGTCATGCAAATTAACGTTACATGACCACATCAATATCATCATCCAAATGTCATTTCATCATTGGGGAAGATATACTAAAAAAAATTTGACCGTTACATTACTTTTAAGATTCTAGTTAAAGTAGATTAATGATACCTTAAAAAATTTCAAGTTTCTGCAATAAAGCAAGCAAAAAGATATCAGGTATTAATTAGTTTTTGTAAAGAGCATGATAATTAAACAATAAATATTAAAATTTTATTTTAATGGCGAAATAATTTATATTGATGACGCAAATATTAATTCTTTACACTTTTAATTTACATGATTTATATAACACATGATATTTACAATATGATTACTTGCAAATTTTGACTAAACCTAATCTACCCTATAAAAAATCTGTGAAAAATTCCAATAAATGATCATTTTTCTAGTTTTTATTCCGAAGAAACTCAGACACATGATCATTTTTCTGTATTTTGAAATTTCAGTCATCGCATCATTGCGTGCTTGGAAAAAAAATATGTAATCAAAATTTACTGGCCCTCCATAATGGGTCAGAGATCGGCATATGCATCCAGGTAAGTTGTACGATATGAAATTACGTAACTTTTTTAATAAATACCCCCGAATCGATCTTCATGTTTCTATAATCATTTTTCTTTTTCTTGAGTCATTTGATTAATTTAATTAATTTACAACCTAATGAGTAACTGTATTAATCATTTTTTCATGTGCTTTTTTCGACTAACTTAATAATTAATGAGTGAGATTATTTGATTTATTCATGCTTGCAATTGTTAAATACTAAATCAAATACAATTTGTTATGATAAGTTATTATCGTCTCATTATGATAATCAAATGCAGTTTATCATGATAGGTTTGAATATAATAAGAATTATTATTATTATTTGCTGTATTACGTACGTCACTACAAGAGTCTATAGTCAGAATGATACACCTTCAATAAGCCGATTTTGATCAAATCTTTTTGATGAGTATAAAATTGATCAATTTTTTTGATTTCAAAATAAGTCTTCTTTTTCTTTTATCGGAACAAAATTTCTTCCTTTTTATCTCCCAAGAAACTCTCTCGAACTTCTTTTATATTCGTTTCTAATATCTTTCTTCATTAATAATCGAATACGATGCAAAAAATATATACTTATATCTACATTTATATTCATATTTCTGATGTTGCATCTTTTTTTTTATTTTTATTTCTGGAAATCATTTACAATCTCTTTACCTCCCTTCCGCATCTCCAAAACGTCTATTTGGTCTATTATTCTTTCCAATGGGGTGGCCTTTGTGGTATCAATTCTTCTCTTTTTTGTATTAGGAGATGTCATATTCGCTTAGATTCGTAGCATGTATAATAAGTGGCTTTTAAACAAACCTGTGAAAAAGGGCATTCAACCTAAAATTGATATTTCAGATGATAAGCTCGTTTCTCGACCTCTAGTTATAGAACGTTTTAAAAAAATTCTTCAACCAGATAAAGATCACTCATATTATCATTTAGTCTGTAGTGAACACGGGACAGGGAAAATCACATTAGTCAGGATCGCTTCAAATGAGGTTGGGTGTGGCGTTTTATATGTTAATATCCCTGCAAATTTAAGTGAATTAGATAAGGCTTTTGGAAAAGCAATTAATTTTGCATATGAGAGAATTTCTGTTACTAGACAATGGTTGCGTAAAATCAATTCAGATGGTAAGTTTCCATCATTACTTTATTGTTAATAATAACCATTTTGATTCTTATTTTCTTTTGTAATAGATACACCTAAGCTTTCTGAATGCGCAAAAGCTTTGCAAACATTCAGACATGCTAGTGAAATGTACAAAGCCAAGTATGATAAGCCAATAGTTATTGTTTACGACAATGTTAGTCACTTGGTTCATAAAAATCCAGAAATCCTGGACATTCTCCAAGATGACGCAAAACACAATGCTGATGATCGAAAATACATCGCTGTATTTGTCTGCAGTGAAGGAAGTGTACCTCAAAGGATGGAATGTAAGTATGACATGATTTTTTTGTGTTCTTGAAAAAATGGTATTTACAGATTATAATTCTTATTTTAGCCCGCAGTGCCTGGTCACGTGCAAAAACACCTGTAATGGAAATTGGCGACCTTAGCGAGGAAGAATCGATGGAATATTTGATTAAAAATCACAAGATCAAGGAAGTATATGCGAAAAAATTATTTGATTTAGTTGGGGGTCATATCATAGAGCTAAAAATTGTGGCGGATGACTTTTTGGCTGGGCAAAAATTCGAAAGTAGGAATTAGTTTCATCATTTTACAAATTCAGGTTTACATAATTTTGTTCTGGATCAATTGCTTAATAATTTCTTCTGCCCTTTTTCTGCAGTCATTAAACAACAAGTTTTAGATAAAGTTGAGAAGAAATTTAAATCTGCACAACTCCTTCCAAATGATCAATATTACGAATTAGGAAAAAGTCTTATATGTGATTTGTTGAAGTCAAATGAGCTCAGCTTTTTAGAATTTAAGAATTATTTTGATAGGGCTGAGAAATTAAATGAAGTGTTGGACAGCAATATATTTTCATATCATCCTGAAAAGAATATTGTGACCTTCCAATCTCAATCAGTAAAAAGTTATATTCAAGAAAAAGCTAATATATTCCACATTTATGAAAATTTTAAAATTATAGAAATTGATTAGAAATTTTCAAAATGGCATATTTATAATGTAACTAATGCATAATACAAATTCAAATTATGTATATTAGTATAGAAAAAATTGTCATGTATTACAAGAAA